CACTCCAGTGTACTTAATTGGAGGTTCTTCCAATACACTTTCCTACATTTCTTTAAGCAAATAGTTTAGAGTACTGGTTAGGACTCTAGAGACAACAGTCTTCCTGAGTTCTATCCTGGCTCTGCTGCTTACCAGCTATATGACAATGGGCAAGTTACTTAGCCTCTGTATGCCTCAGTTTTCTCATTAAAATTTTTTTTAAAAAATACTGGTACTTACTTCACAGGATTGTTATAAAGAGTTAATATATAGTTAAATGAGCTAATACTAAGTGCTTAGAACAGAGTCTAGCACATAGTAGATGCTATACAGATATTTAATAAGTGTCAGCTGGGAAAGGTAGGTCATGCCTATAATCCCAGCACTTTGGGAGACCTAGGCAGATGGATTGCTTGAGCCCAGGAGTTTGAGACCAACCTGGCTAATGTGACAAGACCCTATCTCTACAAAAAAATACAAAAATTAGCTGGGTGCTGTCACATATGCCTATAATCCCTGCTACTCAGAAGACTGAGGTGGGAGGATTGCTTGAGCTTGGGAGGTCAAGGCTATAGTGAGCCATGACTGCACCACTGCACTCCAACCTGGGCAACAGAGACACTGTCTCAAAAAAAAAAAAAAAAAAGTCAAATAAATGTGTATTACTAAAAAACATAAATGACATTCAGTTTCTTCTTTATCTCTTTCAATATTATGTTTTGAGATCTACCAATATTGATACACAAATCTAACTGCATGCCACATTTTACCTGTCCATTCCTTAAACAGGCCTACCCTCATCGATGATTTGTGGGGTCTGAGGCAAGACACCAAATGCAGTCTATACGTCATAAGTTTAAATATTTTAAAAGTCATAAGTGTTAATAACACACTGTAAAATTAGATATTTCATCTTTTTCCTTGCCAAAAATATTCCTTTATAAAGACAAATTTTACCTTTTTGTTCAGACTTAATTTTTTAAATGGACAAAATTGAAACATAGCTGTAAAATTCTGATTTTTATATGACTTAGAATTGGCATAACATGGAATATTATGCAGCCATCAAAAACGATGAGTTTGGGTCCTTTGTAGGGACATGGATGAACCTGGAAACCATCATTCTCAGCAAACTGACAGAAGAGCAGAAGATCAAACAACGCATGTTCTCACTCATAGGCGGGTGTTGAACAATGAGAACACATGGACACAGGGAGGGGAGCACTACACACTGGGGTCAGTTGGGGGGAAATAGGGGAG